GAGTAGCCCTCCGGGGCACTGGGACTCAGCAGGCAGAGGTGCTGGCAGCGGGCGCCGGCGCAGGGATTGGGGCTCATGGGCTGCAGCGAGGCGTGGTGCACGTGTATGGACAGGGGCTGGCTGATGAGGTGCGAGACGACGGTCTGGTTCTTGCCGCGGAACTTGTTGGCCGAGAGGACGCGGTTCAGCTGCCTGTCCGTCCAGTAGAGCGTGTCCTCGAACAGGGACAGCGAGTGCGGATGCAGCAGATAGTGGCTGCTGGCCAGGACCTGCTGTCTGCCCGTTCCATTGTAGTAGCAGAAGTCGATAAAGTCCAGCTTGGAGTCGGCGAAGTAGACCCGCTTGGTGGCTATGTCCAGGGTCAGGCCGTTGGGCCAGTAGATCTTGGTGTTGATGATCGTCTGCCGCATGGTCCCGTCCATGCCGATCCGCTCCACCCTGGGGTTCTCGCCCCAGTCCGTCCAGAAGATCCACCTGGCGCCGGGACTGGGGTCTATGCACATGCCTCTGGGTTGGGTGATGTTCTCCCTGACCAGGACCAGCCGGTTGGAGCCGTTCTCCGCGGACACCTCAATCGTGTTCAGCTTGCTGTCCAGCCAGTAGAGGTTCTGGGCAATCCAGTCGTAGGCCAGACCCTCGACCAGGTCCAGACCCGTGTTGATGATCTCCTGCGGCTCCATGCCGCGGTCCAGCCGCGAGATCTTCTTCAGCTTCATGTCGCTCCAGAAAATGGTGCCCGTGTGCATGTTCGAGGCCGTGGCCACCACGTTCTCCACTATGATGGGCACCCGCTCCAGGCCCTGCTCCTTGAGGTCGGCCACGAGTATCGAGTGGCGGTTCGAGATGATCAGGAAGGCGGCCGTGTGGTTGACCGCCTTGCAGGTGTGCTTGTTGGGCTCCAGCACATAGCCGTCGGTGCAGGAGCAGAAGTAGGAGCCCTTCGTGTTCGTGCACTGCTGCGAACAGAGTCCGGGGGGATCGCACTCGTTCGTGTCCATGCAGGTGTACCCATCGCCGCCGATCTCCGAGCCCGGCGGACACACGCACAGCGCTCCGTTGGGCGTCTTCTGGCAGAAGCTCGAACACTGGCCCGCCTGGTGCTCGCACTCGGCCAGGTCGCAGCCCTCGCCCTCGTCGGACCCGTTCGGGCAGTCGGCCGTGTCGTCGCACACGGCGGTGATGTTGACGCACCGCTCGGAGACCCCGGGACACTGCCACTGGCCGTGCGGACACTTGAAGGGCGGCGGCACACAGGCGTGCTCCGTGCCCTCGTCCGAGTTGTCGCCGCAGTCGTCCTTGCCGTCGCAGATGTAGGCCTTGAAGACGCAGTTGGTGTTGTTGCACTTGAAGAAGTTCTGGGCACAGGTGATCTGGCCGCAGTCCTGCTCGTCCGAGTGGTCGGAGCAGTCGTTGGAGCCGTCGCAGTGCCAGGCAATGGGGATGCAGAAACCGGTCGACTTGCAGCGGAAGTGCTTCTCCAGGTTGCACTGGTTGGGGCCCATCGAGGGGCAGCCCAGCTCGTCGGAGCCGTCGTTGCAGTCCGGAATGCCGTCGCACTTGTACGACTCCTCGACGCACTGGCGCAGGTCGGCGCACTTGAACTGGTTCGCCAGGCACGAGATCGGCGGGCAGTCCTTCTCGTCCTGCTTGTCGAAGCAGTCGTCGTCGCCGTCGCACACCCAGCTCTGTGGGATGCAGTGGCCAGTGCGCGGACACGTAAACTGGAAGTAGGCGCACGTCTTCTCCGCACAGAAGTCGCCCTCGTCGCTGCTGTCGCCGCAGTCGTTCTCGCTGTCGCACTTCCACATGTTGGGTATGCAGCGGCCGTTGGCGCAGGCGAACTGCGAGGTGCCGCAGGTCACGTTGCCGCACTCCTGCTCATCCGAGTTGTCGCCGCAGTCGTTCTCCTGGTCGCAGCGGAAGTTCTGCGGGATGCAGCGCCCCGACCGACACTGGTACTCGTTGGAGCCACAGGTGGGTTCTGTCATTTGGTAGCAGAGAGAATGGTGGTTAGGCTAACTCTAGGGATCACACACAGAGAAAATTCTGACGTTCAGAAATTGTGAATTCGAATTCCTCAACTTGAGGATATACTCATTTTGAGTACTGATTTTGCCCAAAAACTCACATTTCGAATATTTGTACTCATTTTAAGAAAAAAAATACTTCAATTGTGGGTATATATTGAATTTGAGAAAAAAAATATGCTAATAATGAGGCAAAATGTACTCAAAATCCGTGGTCTAGCGGTCTGAGATGTCCGGATGTCCGGATGATTATTTATGTAACTCTTTATCAAAAAAAAATACGGCAAATATTTTGCTTAAAACTACGAATTCGCCTTTTGAAATAAAATAGTTGTGCGGCTTTAGTTTACTGAGAAGTTAGTAATAAAACATAATGTAAGACAAACAATAAAGTTGAAAGAAAATGTTAGTTACATTTTTGGCCGATTTATTTGGGTAGATTCTCATTTTGAGTTTTTTCATTCTTGAACATTTGTACTCAAACTGAGCAGAATTGTTTTAAGAGTGAGAATCTTTGCTCTTGGATTTTTTTTGAGTACGAATATTCTCAGATTGAGTGCAATATATGTTACTTGATGAATTTTCTCTGTGTAGGCACATGGCCACTGCCATTACTTACTTGTGCAGTTCTGCTCCTCGTCGCTGTTGTCCAGACAGTCGTCGTCGCCGTCGCACACCCACGACTTGGGTATGCACCGCTGGTTGTTGCACGTGAAGTCCCACGAGTTGGGACAGGGTTGCACTGGGGGCTCGGCACTGGGGTCAGGTATGCAGCTCAACTGGTCCTCGGCCAGTCGCTCGCCGTAGGGACACGAGCAGCGCGCCTGCAGGCGACCAAAGGACGGGGGTGAGGAGGTGGTGGTCACCTCACCAGCAGCAGCAGCAGCAGCAGCCGTTCCGTTGGACGCTCCTATGGGCACGGCAAAGCAGATCTTCTGGCAGCCGCCGTTGTTCCGGTGACAGGGTTGCGTATCGGCGATCCTCTGGACCTCGTGGCTGTAGACCTTGACGCCGTAGAGCCTGTTGGTTTGCGGCTCCCTGACCATCATCTCCTCCTGCTCGCCGGTCAGCTTGTGTAGCCGGATGATGGCATCCAGGCGCCAGTCCGTGATGTACATCCAGTCGTTGTGAATCACGATGGAGAAGGGGTGGCGCACCAGGCGGGAGTTCACTGTCTTGATGTCCGTGCCGTCCAAGTTGGCGTGCTGCACGTGATCCAACAAAGCATCGCACCAGTACACCCGGTCCTCTTTGAAGTCAATGGACAGGCCATTGGGCCAGCCGAGGGTCACGTTTTTGAACACCAGCAGACCACTGCCATCCGTGTTGGCCCTGGTGATGTTCGCCGGACGATCCCACTCGGAGAAGAAGATGAACCCGCGGTTGGGATGCACGACAATGGCCCGGGGACGCTTCAGGTTCTTCAGCAGCGTCCGGCGGTGCGTCACGTTGCGCGTGGACAGGACGTTCAAGGTGCCCTTGCGCGAGTCAATGTAGTAGAGGTTCTTGGAGGCCCAGTCGACGGCCAGACCCTCAACGCCCTCGTTCTGGGAGGCCAAAACGATCTCCCTGCCGGTCCCGTTGCGGTGCACCCGGTAGATGACGTCCTGCAGCACGTCCGAGTAGTAGACGAACTCGTCGCGCGCATCAAAGTCCAGGCCGACGAAGCGCGCCCGGCGCGAGACGACCGGCATGATGGCGTCGCTGAAGCCCTCGATCACCGGCTCCAGCACCTTGCCCTTGATGAACCGCTGCTGCGAGTACATGAGGAACTCGCTGACCGGCTTGCACAGCTTGAGGTCCGTCTCCAGCTGGTAGCCCGTGGAGCAGGCGCACCGGAAGCCCAGCCCCGTGGGGGCGCCCTTCACGGCCGTCACAATGCACATGTGGTTGCAGCCGCCGTTGTTGTTGCCGCACGGATTCGACACCCTGGGCTGGCTGAGGGCGTGCACGGCAATGATGCCCTTCGGCTCCCGGATGTCCTTGGCCTTGTAGGTCACCTGAATGGAGGTGGGCCCCTCGAACTTGTCCACCGACATGATGCCCTGCTTGGTGGCGTCCGTCCAGTAGATCCGGTTCTCGAACAGGGCCAGACGCGACGGACTGGGCACCTGCTGGCCCCGCAGCACCATGACACGGTTGGCGCCCTCGTAGTCCACGGACTCGATGTAGTCCAGCAGGGAGTCGCACCAGAAGACCCGCTTGCCGATGATGTCCACCGTGACGCCACTCGCTTTGTACGCCGCCTCGGACACAATCGACCGGGCGTGGGTGCCGTCCATGTGGGCGCGCAGCACCTGGCCACCGTCCGCCACGAACATCAGGCCCGCCGTGGGGTCCAGGGCCAGGTCGGCGGGCGAGGTGAGGTTGGAGCCCAGGACCACCGCGTGCCACTGGCCACTCAGCTCGAACACGTCGATCTTCTGGCCCACCAGGTCGGCCACGTAGATCTTGTCGCCCACCCAGTCGACGGCCAGCGCCACTGGCGCCCAGGTGCCCGGCAGCGTCTGGTCGAAGGGCGTCACCGCCCTGCTCTGCGCATCCAGCGGCAGCGACTGCACCTTTCGCGTCTTGATGTCCGACCAGTAGAGCGTGTTCCGCGCATAGTGGAAGGCCACGCCCGCCGCCGCCGTGGCATTGGCCAGCACCTTGGGCTCGCTGCCGTGGTGCAGCATGCGCATGATGGCCCGCTCGTGGGCGAAGATCAGCTGCAGCTTGTTCGCGTCGGGGGCAATGCACTTGGAGTCGTTGATCAGCGTGTAGCCCTGCGCGCACTGGCAGGTGTACGAGCCCAAAGTGTTGGTGCACAACTGGTCGCAGTGGCCCCACTCGGCGCACTCGTCTAGGTCCACGCAGGTGCGGTTGTCGGGGGCCAGCGACTGGCCCGGCTTGCAGTAGCAAACGCCGCCGGTCAGCGAGGGTCCGCACTTGAACTCACAGCTCAGGGCGGGACACGAGGCGATCGCTGCAATGGGATAGGATGGGTAATTAGCATGGCATTATAATATATATATACTTGTATATAGGAAAAATATTCAAATCATTAAGACATTGTATCGAAAGTGGAGCCACAAGTAAGCCATGTCTAGATTGTCAGATAAAATAATTTGAAATACCATAACCACAGAGCTAAATGTTCAGTTGGATTTGGAATTTCAAACAAAAATTATCTGTTTTTATTTTTTGATTTTTTTTCAATGGCAAAATTTAACTAAAAATCGAGGTTAAGGATCGGCTTTTTTGGTTTTCGCTTTTTACGCAGTATCGTTTTGAATTTACCACAAATCTTAGCAAACATATGGAGAAGATTATGTCCATTGGAAATTAAAAAGGTATGTACAACTAATAATGAACAAACTATAATGATCAATGGAATGAAGGTCCACACTTGAACTCACAGCTCAAACGGATATGAGGCTATCGCTGGAATTGAAAGAGGAAAGAAAATTATATCGGAAGAGGATTTACAAGAAAGTCTTGTTTAGCTTGTCAACTAAAATTATTTAAATTTAAATTTGTAAAAAGTGAAGCAGATTAGGCTCATTGGAACTTTAAAAAATGTACACAAATAATTATGAATAATGGTATAAAATTTATACATATGAACATTAGAATGGATATTTTAAAATGGAATCAAGAGGAACAAGTGATAATGAACAATGGAATGAAATCTTTGCGAATGAACATGAGGAACAGTACACTGAAGAGGGGAACATAACTAAACCCAAAAAATATAGGAAAACGTGAATGACTCAATTAAATCAAGAAAGTAAATGAACCCTAAATGATTATTACTGAACATACATTTAGCGGCTGAAGATACATAATACTGTTGAACATACATAATGCTAAAGAACATACATTTTGCTGCTGAACATACATTTTGCGGCTGATAATACATAATGCTGTTAAACATACATAATGCTAATGAACATACATTTTGCTGCTGAACATACATTTTGCGGCTGAAGATACATAATGTTATTAAACATACATAATGCTAATGAACATACATAATGTTGATGAACATACATTTTGCGGCTGATGTTACATAATGCTGTTGAACATACATTTTGCGGCTGAAGTTACATAACGCACACATAATATATGAACATATAAATGAGAATGAAAACAAATACTTTAGGAATAATATAAATATGAATGAAGATGGAAACACTGTAAATGAACATCAAAGCAGAATACATTCTTGGAGCAAACTCGTTTGGAATTCCCGCAGAGGATTAGCTCAAGGAACTATGAACTAGATGTAGATGAAGAAGAGAAGGATTCGATTTTCCCCTGGGGTACTCACAGCAGTTGGTCTCCTCGTCGCTACCGTCCTCGCAGTCCCGCTTACCGTCGCACAGCTGCGACTTCAGGATGCACTTGGGCGTTCCGCTGGCTCCGCCGCGCGGACACAGGTGCTTGTTGTCCGGACAGGCGATGGCCGTGCAGTTGGCCTCGTCACTCTTGTCTGCACAGTCGTGGTAGCCGTCGCAGTGGAAGTTGTACGGGATGCACAGCGCGTTCGAGCACCGGAACTGCGCGTGGTGGCAGGGCGGAAAGTCTGGAAAACACATAATAGAATACATAAATATGTGTGCATTACAATTCTGCAAACACTTATTTGACGCCGATAATCCGCATCGACCAAAAATTAGAAATTTAACATGGTTTTTGATATATTGTTATTCATTAAAAATGAGCCGAATCATAGCTCATTTTTGAATATATATATATATATATATATATATATATTTGTACTGTATTCAGCTAATTGCTTAAATCTAAATCTACATGTTTTAAACTTCTGTTATGTAACAAAAATACACCAATTCTATAAATGTTACCGACCAGCTAAACCCTAAACTAAATAAATATACAACTTTAAAGACTGAGATATTTAATTGTAAATTTCTTTTCTAATGACGCAGTAAATGGGGAAATCCTTTATGGATAAAATAAATATAAAATGTATACACTGATAAAAAATGGCATAGTACAAATTAGCTGGCTAATACATCTAATATATAATTTATTATTAATATAGTTGTATTAATGTGGAAATATTCAAATTTAAAATGGGTCCTTTTTGATTTTCCCATTTGTAATGATATTTGGTTTCAATTTAAATATACTAAAATATTTTCCGAAATATGAAATATTATTTTATTAAACAAAATTTTTTTCAAGATAATCTAGTTGTTGGAGTGTTAAGTACTTACTGCATCCCTGTTCGTCCGAGTTGTCGCCACAGTCATCGCGATGGTTGCACTTGAGGGCGGCGTCGATGCACTTGTGTCCGTTGGCGCAGCGGAACTGGTCGAGGCGGCAGGACGCGCCGCTGCAGTTGTCCTCGTCCCGCCCGGTGCGGCAGTCCAAGTAGCCGTCGCAGCGCTTCTCCTTCGGCACACAGGGTCCTGCGAGGCGGGCGCCCTCCGCGGGGGCGGCTCCGTTGGGGGCGTTGCAGAACACGTCCGTGTGCTGACACTTGCGGTAAGCTGCAAAACGCAAAGGAAATGCCAAAGTTGTTTAGCTCATTTGTTTTATTTATATAGAATTTTTGAAAATTTCTCATCATATGTGCAGTAGGTTGTAAAAGTCAAGGAAATTCCACAATTGACAATTAACAATTAACGTTCTATAAATTTATTGTTTCTTTTAGTTGTATAAATAATTCATTGACAGCGAATCTAAAAACTGATTCATTTCCAAATGAATTCTGATATATTTAATTATATACGGACAATAAGACAGTTGCAAAAATAAAAAACAATACAAATATTTTAATACTAACTTTATTTTATTAAAAGCTCAATAATATCCTACTTATAAAAGTTATTTTATGTTGTGAAATGAATACGTTTCTTCATGTTTAGGATAATATTAATATTTTTCAAAAAGTTTTACCCCTCAATTATTATTTTTATCTGCATTTTGATTTGCCAACATGCAAGTAAACCTATTACACATTTAGTTGGTATGTTTTTGGGGTTTCAGCCACCCTATTGCTTGACATTTTGATAAGCAGCCCCAATATAATAATCTGTACATGACTGCAGTCAATTAGGGATAATTTTGGGTGCCCTCCCATTGTGATTAATTGCATTTGCATTGGGAGCCAAGCTCTTGACCCATCATCCAAAGAAGATTTGAACTGAACTGAATGGCTCCATGGGGTTTCCCTGGATTCACAGCCACTGTCCAACAGACAGAAGCTGCTTCTCGGCTCATCAGTTCCATGCTCTGTGCCATACATGTATTTTAAAGGGATGGCCTTAAAAATGGCAGACCAAAACTATTTGTGCTGCCAAAGACATTAAATTTTGATGCCAGACATGCGAGGGGAGAATGGCTGGGCACGCATGGCGTATACATAATGCATGGCCGGCCGCTGTACGAATGTCGGGCGTGATTGTCTGTCCGCTCGACCCGTCCGTCTGACCGTCCATCTGACCGTCCATCTCCCCCGGATTGTGCACTTGAGTTGTGTGTGTCGGCAGGCAGAAGTGCTATAAATTATCGAGTAGTTGGTTGCCGTACCCTCCTCCCCGAAAGCCACACAAAAATGGGATGCCTACCAGTAAAAGAAATGGCTACGAGAAATAAGTACCCCTTGCTTTAAGAAATTCCCTGCTTAAAATTAAAAATAATCTTGTAAAAACCTTATTTATTTCAATTTAAATTTGCCAAAACATGCATTTTTTTGTATTTTATCGTTATTTTTTTTTAAGTTTGCAAAACAGTTACAACAAAAATGACATAGAAGAGGTATACTAAAAAAGTATTAGGCTTATTTATTTATGATCTTCAGAAATGAAACTATTTTAATTTTATATTAAAAAACAATCATAATTAATAATAGATTTTTTCAGCCTGATGGCTTTTCAATATTAATGCATTTAATTATGATTATATACGATTGTATTGTAAATGTGGCCAAGCCCGAATCTCAATGTGTACAGGGTATCAAGCGGATGCGAAAGGGTGTGTAGGTCTGTCAAGGGTTCGGTTAACAAGAAAGAGGTAGCAGGAAGAGTCGTGCATTTGAATGACTAAATTAGAGCAACTGCTGGCGAATCGGGTCTTTAAGAAGATGATATATGTGCCTTTTGACATGGGCATATGTGTATGGACATTAGGGTGAACCGGTGGCATGATTAAAAAAATACAACTTTTTTTTACTTTTTACTTTTTTTTTAGGAAATCACTGATTTTTCGTACGAAAATCAGGATTTTCGGGTGGTACAACAAACTTAGCACTTTTATAATATAAACAATATTGTCAACATTTTTTTTCGTTTGATTTGATTGAATTGTTATGACTTAAACTCTAAATTTGATTTGTTAATGAAAGAAAAAGTTCTTAAAAAAGTATAATTTTGAATTTATTTTTATTTTATGTTTTTGGTTTATTAGTTTCTTTAGGTTCCGACTTCATATTTTTTTGCTTTGCGGATGCCCCGCCCCGTTGATCTATGCCCGTACCCCCCCTCTCTGGACATCATAAACTTGGCAACGAGTATTTTATGCATGTCACCCGCTCCTTGAGTCGCATTCCCATCACCATTCCCAGTTCCAATTCCCCCCGATTAACTGCCGGAACATTAGCGACGAACTGGGGCCACGGGACCCCAACAGGACCCCAACAGGAGCCCAACGGGAGCATCCGAGTGTGGCAGGGCAAACTTAATTAGTGCAAGTTAAACAAGCCAAGTTGTATAAATATTCCCCGACAGCGCAAAACTTTCTCCAAGCAAAACAATGGAATGCGTATCCTGCGCCCTGCGTCTGTGTAAGTCTGTATAAGTGTCCCTGTCTGTGAGTGTCCTGGATGTGTGTGTGTGTGAGTGCAGGTAAGAGCGGTACAGAAAAAAAAAGTATAAAACATACACTTAACAGGTGTGTGAGGTGGATTTAGTTTACTTTAAATGCTTAAAACTCTCTCCTCCATTATGAATTAAGCTATTTTTCTATTGGGATTTTAAAGCTATTTAATTTAAGTTTTTTTTTTACATTTTAAAACTTTTTAATAGTTGAAGTTTCCAAATGCAGCTTATTACATTAAAGTAATTTACATCAACTGACTTATTTTATGTATACAATCAAGGTTTTTTTTTAATTACGCATACGCCTAGTTGGACAGCTTTTCTTTCTTCCTAATTTTTTTTTATTCTATTGCTAATTATTTTACATTTTGAAACTGTATATTAGTTGACGCTTCAGCTAAAGTAAACTAATTTACAACAACTCACTAACTATATAAATACAGCCAAGGCCTTTTTTTGTAAATTACGCATACGCCTAGTTAGACAGCTTCTCATTCCTTCTCAATTTATTTCTTATAATTAAATTAAAATTACTAACAATTTTATTAAAACTATGTGATAGTCCCTAAAATATATATATTTTTTTAATATGTGTAAGTATCGTTGTGACATGTCATATTTTGTAAATGAATTTAGTTGTGTAACTATCTATTTTGTTTGCTCCCTGCAGCTTTTTCTATTGACAAAGTAGCGGAAGCGAAACTTTGTGCACTCAAACTCCGGTGATCATAAAAATGTGTCACGCACTCCGGTAGTTCATTTCTCCCATTTCCCCCAGACTTTCTCCCATTTCCCCCATACTTTCTCCTCTTTCTCCCCATCTATAAAGCATTCCTTTTACCCGGACTCTCTGACATTAACATGTTCCCATTGCTAATCTGCTTCGACCCCTTGCAATTTGGGGGCGTGGCTGGCCAAAAGATTTACGCCAAACAATTTGTTACAAATTCGTTAGATGTCTCGTTTTCCCCCCTCGTTTCCGCACTTTTGCATTGCATTAGAGGCAAATCATAATGACAAACGAGGGGCGTGG